TTTTTTTATAAATATATTTTATAAATCTTCAAATATTAAATATATTTATTTAATTACAAATTAATATGTAAAATTTTATGTAATTATATTTTAATTTAAATGTATCAAGTTGATATATTATACTTAATAAGATGACTAATAGTTATGTTATCAATATCCAAATAACAGATTTAGAGTTCAAATTTTAATATTAACAAAAATTTAAAATTTTTTCTATATTATAAATAACTGTCTTCTGTTATTAATTAAGATCAAATACCTGTTACTTGTATTATATCAGTATAAATGAAAGGTTATATAGCATTTATGCAATAGTTATACTTTGTATAAATAAATATAAGCTGATATTAAACAGTATGAATTCATAATAAGTCCTTATGACTATATAAATTATAAAAACCAGAAAGATAAAAACTCACTTGAAAGATCTGAATAAAAAGATAATCTGAACTTTTAATAATGCTATTGTAAAGACTAGATTTATAAAATATAATTGGAACTTGTAAAGCCAAATAAAGACAAATCAGTTTTAGAAAGGAATCATTATAACTAACCAGATTGCTAAGATCTATTCTAAAGAAAAAATTTATATATTAAAAGAATATGTAAACTAGAAATATGATAATATTTATTTTTTTGAATTATCTAAACAGAAAATCTAATAAAATTTGAATTGAATATTAAAATAATAAAAATTAAATATTAAGATTAAAATAAACTTTACAAAAACATAACAGTTTAATAATATGACCTAACTACAAGTATTAATTTCAATTATAATGTTATTAGGTTAGCTATAAGAATAGGATATAAAAGATTCTAGAAGATTTAGTATAAGATCAAAGATTTACTATGTGAGTAAACTGCTTTAAAGATTTAATAATCATGATATATTTTTATTGGTATTGATTAAAACTATTAATAGATATAAGTAAGTAGATAAATATAAAAACTAAAGTGTTTAAATAAGGTATTTACAAGCAGGTTTCAAGTATGACAGCTAATATAGAGCTTTCAAGTGAACTACTTAAATTAGACAATGACTAAAGTTGTACAAATAACTAGTTGTACACTCTTTTCATAGTTGTCTCCTGTAATTGTAATGCAACTATTAACTGAATGTACTATCAATAAAATTCTGGATTACAAATACTCTTCTTAATATTTAAAAAAAAATTTTCATGTTAATACGTATAACACTTATAATTTAACAATTTATAAATTTATTGTTTGGTTTCATAATAGAAACTCAATAAACTCTGCCAATTACCAAACGTTCTACCTTTGTTCTTATGAAAACTTTCTAGAGAAAACGATTAAAAAAGATTTTCTGTTAAAAACACTCAAAACAAAGAAATTTTACTTATAAATGAGAGTACCTTTGGTTTAACTTATTATGGGTAAGCGGATTGTGAAATTTCTGGTTTTTAGACTACAACTATATATCAAATTTTCAATTGACCATATAAATAGTTGTGTAACAATGATGGAATATATCGGATACGAGTTTCTGCTAATTACTAATAAAGATATAAGCAAGGCCTCACCTTCATACCAAAAAATAAAAATTAAAACTTTGGTATGCCTAGTTGTAACTTGTTATTATTTTTTACTTATGAAAAAATAATTTATTGAAAAGAGTTTTTTGTTTTTACTTATAAATATATTTAAGTGTGATTTTATACTAAAAACATGAAAGAATTATCTATATCTAAAAAATGACAATGATACCCAAACGAGATATTGTACAACATATATTGATATATACTAGTGTACGTACATGAGTCTAAAAAAATTCGCGGTTTCTCATTTTGCCATTGTTCACAATGTGTTCGACTGTTCCAGATATATCTAGTAAAAAGTTATTTATTTTTTTTATTTTAATACTAATACTCGCTACATATTTATTGTACACAGATTTTATATCTGAATATCTCAAAGAGATAAAATTTGAGTCGCAATTCGGAACAAATTCAAGTAATTCAGATGTTTTGAATACAGCAAATATCACCAATTCAGATTGTAAAAACAATGTTAGCAATGAACTTTACTTAGCTTATCTTCCCCATGGCTCTTTTCATGAGCAACGTATCAGCCTAGAGAATGCAATATTTTTGGCTTGGGCAACAAATCGTACATTAATAATTCCGTCAATAATATTTGGTGAACAACTGTTGCCCAATAAGCCATTTAAAAATCTATCAGAAATATTGGTAAATTTAAAACATTACAACGATACCAATAGTGAATGCGAATGGGATTCTAAACATAATCATTGTATAAAAAAAGTTCAAAAGGATCTTTACACTTCTGTAAAGTGGGAATTTTTGATGGATATGGGATTTTCACAAGAGAAAATTCGATCAATTCATAGAGAAACTTATAATTTTACAAATCTTCTCTTATTTCTAAATATCACTGATCAAAACAATAAGTTTTATATGATAGACGATGAAGAAATTTACAGTCATCAGATTTATGATGTAGACGAGAAATTTCCATCTGATACGAGATATAAAAACATGATTCATTTGTGTTCTTTGCAACGAAGAAATGAAACTTTATTACATTTTGGATCGTTATTTGGCACTAATCGACTCAACTTGAAGTTGAACGATAATATGGAATTTTTGCGTAATATTAGGAATAATTTAATAATTAACCATCCATTATTGCTCGAAAAGGGTGAAGAGATTAGTATACAATTAGGTGGTTTGGCAAGTTATATTGGGGTTCACATCGAACAATTGGATGATATAATAGGAAATAAAGAAGAAACGTTTATCGACGATGTCATTGAAAAATTAAAGAATCAACTAGGTATAATACCTCAAGAAACTAATAGTAATACTCCAGATCGAATGGAACTGGCATCAAGAGGTTTTCAACCAACTTTAACACAAATGTTAGCCGAAGAATGCGTACAAAATAGCTCACCAGAGAAAAGACATTATCCAATAATTTATCTTGCAACGGATTTAACTAAATCGGATCCAAAACTGACAAGATTCTTTGAAGAATTTCCTTGTATATTTATGTTGTCTAATTTCACAGATTGGACCACGACATTGAAATTTATTGTAAATCCAATAGACAATGTTAGTTTGTACAAATTCCTTGTACCATTGATTGATGCTATTGTTGTAGCGAAAGGTGGTGAATTTTTTGGTAAAAATGAAAGTTTAGCTAGTAATTATATTCAAAGATTACATGACTACTGGATCGGATCATAAGATCGTCTCTGATTGGCTAATATGAATTTATATATAAACGTTTTATCGTTATCGTCATAAAAAAAAAAAAAAAAAAAAATGTTTTCCCTATTGACACAGAGAATTTATCCGATAGTACCTCAATTACAAAAAAAAATTCATCCCTTCTCTTTAAAAACTTTTACGCCTACTAGTTTTAACTTTGGGTTAAATTCTTTAAGGTATTAAACAATCAGTACAAAAAAAGGTTGAATAGACGAATTAATTTTATATTAAAAACAAAGCAGGATTCAATCACATCTTCCCACAAACACATTTTGGTCTCCCCAAGTTCGATTCAAAGCTTATGGTAGAGAATATCAACCAAGTAATCTCATAAGAAAACGGAGAAATGGTTTTTTGGCTAGGTTAAGGCGCAAATCAGGAAGAAGAATTTTGGCCCGAAGACGTTTAAAAGGCAGAAAGTATCTATCACATTAATGATAGTTTAAGTATTTAATAAATATTTTTGTATTGAGGTCTGTATGTGATCGTTTGTTGTAATTGGATTGATCATTTCATTTTATTATTATTATTATTATTATTTATATTTGTTTAGTCGTTTTCATTTTATTTTAGATGATATTGTATATATGGATAAAAGGTTTTTACTCATATAAATGCGCCAAAATAAGCAAATTAAGTAAACTGATTTTGAATTTTCACACCTGATATATCTATTATCAAGTTTCTACACTTATTTTTACACCTTTAAACAATATTCCTCAGCACTTTATAATGTATATATTCATATGTTAATAATTTTTTCATAAACAATAAAATGAAATTTGTTAGACTTACCGAGAATAACAGAGTCCCCACGTAAAAACATCTTGCTAATAAACCTATCCTTGTTAACTGGCTTAGCTTTCTTGCCTTTACCAGCTTTTGGCGTTTCAGTCCACATCTAATAAACCAAATTATTTTTACAAATTTTAAATATGTATTAAAATTATTTTGAATCTATGAATTTTACCTACTTCTTTAACGTTCTCTAGCACCATATTACAATGCCGATCAAAGGCTTTGACACGAGCTAGTAACTTTCGATTATTTCTACAATTTATCAATATTTGGGTGTTATTCTTTACTGATTGTTGTAACACCGATAAAGGTCCGGTATTGAACTCATGTTCTTCAAGTTGATGAAGTTCTTCTTCAGTCATTTCCGCTTTTGATTTTGCTTGAGTACTAATTTTATAAGTGTAATTGTGTTAATTAATGTTTCCCGTGAAATTTGTAGAAAAGTAATCAATAACCGAGATTCTCAACGCTTATGTGTTCCTAAAGACTAGTACTCTTCATTCAAAACAATAGAACCTCGTAAACAAGTTTAAATGCGTAGATATATTTGGTTATTTTTTTTACCTCATGGTGACTGCTTATTTTAATAAATGGTTTGTGGTTTGGTTCTTGTTTTTCGGGGAAAGGTTGCATTTTAAATCAATCGATCATATTTATCCTAACTTATTGATCACATGTTAGTGTCAGCGTCAGGACAGAGCTTAGGGACAAACTACCCCAGGATCGCCGTCAAATTTTCACTTTCACGTGATGATCATCCAATAGTGTGTTTCGTTTTAATGCAACGTTACACGATCATCAAAACAAAACGTTCGCTTTTCAAAAATCAAAAACTAGCATAAGAAACCACCTTTTGAGCTCTAACAAAACATTTCCTCGAGTAATTTTACTATAACTTATTTAAAACCTAGCCCTATTATAAACGCTAACCCTAACTTAAACGAATTTAAAGATTTTTAAACGCGGTCACGTGAAAGTGAAAATTTTGACGGCGAAGATGGGAAAACTTAACCTGTACCAGGGGGTATAGATATCTTATCCTGTACCTAAGGGGTACAAATTATTTAATTTGTACATTATATATAATTTGTTATTGTTACAAAAATCTGATTTAGACGTGTGCATTTTTGTAATCATAAGCACTTATTGTTATGCCTAACAAAAATTTAACTACATCTTATCAACCACAAATTAATGACACATTTGAAAGTCATGATAAATTTGTTAATAAAATTAAAAGTTATGCTTATAATCTTAGTTTTACTATTAGACTTGGAAAGTCTGAACATCTAAAATCAGAAAATAAAGCAAATTGTTTAGAAAAGGTTGTTTGAAAAAGAACATTATTATGTTCCTAAGCTGGTTTTTCTGAATCAAAAGAATGTAACTCTAATGAAACTTCAAAAAAAGAATGAAATTGAGTATCTCAACATTGTGGCTGTTCTTTTTATATTCATGTTTCTTTAAATAATTTAAATGCTTTATAGCAAATTATTAATATAGATCTTATTCATAATTATCAAATGGTTGAAGAAAATTATAAATTTTTTATGTCTAATAAATGGAATATTCTTGATAATGTTAAGCAGTAAATAAAATTATTATGTCAAGCTGATATGAATATTTTAACTATACATGCAATACTAAAAGAAGAATTTAATAATCATATTACATAAATATATGATGATATTTATAATTTTATCTATTATTTAGAAGAATTTGGTTTAAAAAAAAGAGAATTAAATGCTAAAGAATTTATAAAAATATTTGAATAATTTAAATATAATAATACTGAATTTTTTTATTATATTGATATTAATAAAAATACAAGAAAATTAGAGCAAGCTATATAGATGTTTTTTGAGCAATGTATTAATTATAGTAGGTTTAATGATATAATTATTTAACAATACTTATAAAACTAATCATTTTAAGATGTTATTTGGTATTTTTATTAGAATAAATATTTATGGATATAGTATATGTTTTGCTAATGTATTAATGATCAATAAAATGAAAGAAAATTTTTTATAGATTTTTACTAAATTTCTTAAAATGGTTAATCAGCATGCATCTGTAATTATTCTTATTGATAATGATTATGCAATGGCAAATGTCTATTCTAAAGTTTTGCAACCTTTAGGTACAAAACATTATTTATAGGGGTTGGGCCCTATAGCTTAACGGTAAAGCTGCTAACCTCCCACAGACTAGGTCAATGGTTCAAGTCGGGCTGGAGGCAAAATCTTAGGATTTTAACTCTGTAACCTAAATAGAGGCCAAATTGGATATGGAGCCCTGTGGAAAAAGTCCCAAGGTGAAGTACAAGGATGGTTTAGGAATTCTCGGAAGAAGACCGACTCTGCAGAGAGAAGGCACTACATGTGACAGCAGCATCACAGAAGGTTCGGCTACACAATAGTATTGCGCAAGTAAGTCCCTAGAAGATAGGGCAGCACCAACATCTCTGTACCCAACTTACAGAGTACTTGATTGGAAGGGTAGTACCGGGTAGCTATAACTGGAGTGGTGAGTGATGTGGTGCATGCAAAAAAGATCTGTAGCAAAGGATTGGTCTAACCAGAATTGGAACATCTTAGGCAGGTACCCTTAAAATACTTGAAAAATATTCCCCAAAGTGGTCGTACATCACAACTTAGATGATGGGCACTATATCTGTATGCAATTAGTCAAGGTTCCAGGCCCCCTTGCAACACCAAGCTGGTAGTACATCGGTACGTGGTTGGCGGTACACCTACAGGAAAGCCTGCAGGAAGCATATGCGATCAAGCCGCAGACCAAACCAACTATGGGAGTATATCTGAAAGAGTATGTGGTAAACTGCAGATTGATAATCCAAGATCTCAATAAATCCAGCCATGCCATCAGGGTATTAAAGTATACATAGTATCAGGCTGTGTACACCAGATTGGTAGCAATAGAAGCAAGAAACCGTCGAAGTCAACCAATCTAGGAAAAGGAATGGATTACTGCAGGTAGTAGATAGGTGGGCTGCTGTTGGGTCAAAAAGGTAAGAGGAAATTAGGGTACAAC